ATAACCAGTTAATTATAGGATAAAATCTACTTATTGTAGAGTTTATTAAGTAACGCCTACACACATTATAATTAACCAATTAGAATAGAAAGCCTTAGCTTCCAGGATCACGGTAGGGATCGCTGGGCTACCCATTCAGACTATAAAAAGCCAATTTTTTAACTAAATGTCACTTAGAAATTTTAAAGTGAATTTTGTTTTGGTGAATCTTTTAATTTCATTTAATTTGTTCATTAAATAATAATGTTTAATTTTTCTTATTGTGGAAATAAATATCAAATAATATTTTTAACATTAAATTTTTTTTTTTTAATTAATTAAATTTAATAATAAATCCAATCCAACTTTTAATCTTTATTTAATAGTAAAAATTTATTGTGAGCCTTTCTTATTGGGTAGATAGTCTTGAGCTTAATATCTTTGTTCTAACGAACATCATACCGCCGGACAGCGCAAAGAAACTTACGAATATATTTTTTTAATGTTTAATTTTTGACTTGGTGTTTATTGTGCCGCATCCTTTCAAGGCGCTAGCGCCGGAACATTTTGGGCTACCACAATTACGCCTTGATAAATTTTTTACATAGATATAAATCTTTTTGAATCTTATTTTTGCCAGGCCAGAGGAAAATTTAAGAAATATTGGTGTCCATCACTCAATAAAATATACTCTTTCAAAAAAATACTTATTTAACAAATGTCAAAAAATTAATAATTAAGATAAAATAAGTCATAGATTTTGTGTAATTAAATCGCATTATTTAAAATTTGAATCATTTTCGTAAGTATTATATTGACTATATGACGTGTAATGTAAATCGTATATGTACTGCATTTAATGCCAAAATCAACATTGGATTACTTGAAATATTATTGCATTACATAGGGCGTAATGTAAGTAAATTTTAACCTTTGCTTTCGAACCTCCAACAATTTATTGCGTAATAAACCATTAATAAAAATTAAATATGAGAATTAAATAGTTAATAAAAGAATTAATACATTAAATTGAATTATATAAAGTTAAAGTATTTAACATTCCAAATATTCCTCTACAATTCCAGACAATTCCCCAATCAATACTATATTTTATATTATTTCTATTTTCTTTTTATTCTATATTACCCCTTCTTATGCTATTTATTTTTATTTTTGATTTATTACACAGTACAATTGATGTAAATATGTCCTATGTATAAATATGTAAGTGACAGCAGACTTTTAATTTTTTTTGGTTTGTTTGTATTTCACAAGTATTAAACATAGTAGGATACCTTAAGCGCAAAAAAGTTTAATGCGTACAAACACATACAAGAAGATGATGGTGTCACAGCATCGTTTGAAAAAATCTCTCTTTGAGGTTGGCAGACCTATCAGGATAATATTTTTTTTTTTCTATAAAATAAGGGAAACTCTATATTTTAGAGCTCAGTCGATTTCGTATACTTTATGTGTACTTACATATATTTTACAAGATAAATTTTATAACCTTTAACGCTAGAGTTAATTTACACATAATCATTTTTATGGTAAAGTAATTTTTTTTATTAAACCAATAAAATCAAATAGTTAACGTATAATAGTTACTGTAACACATGTACCTACATGTAATGGATTCTAAAAGCATGTTTCTCACCGGGATGATTGTTGACATACAGAGTCTAATGTCTGCAGATCATTCATTTTTAGTTAAAGAATTATCCGTCGTCCGACTCTACATGTATCTCTCACTGAGTGTTCAAACATCCAAACGCCGTCAAGGATGATAAGAAAACTGGCTCAAAAAGCATCATCATGATGTGAATACCACTGTTGGGGACGTTGAATACGATGAATTACCGAGAACAATGCAGCTGTTACGCTGTAAGACTATTTACACAAAGGGTACTATCAAAAAAAGTGTTTTGGAAAAGTATTTACCTAACTAGAATGTAATCGACATGGAAGACTTGGATTGTCTACCGTTATACAAACTATTTTGCTCAACGAACCCATGTTGTGGCCGACACGTAAACAACTATAAAATGTGTAGCTTGAATAAAGCATTATGCTTAAAGCAATGGTTGACTTACAACTCTTGACTGTATGAATTAAAAAAACATTTTTTGTAAAACTAATACATTTATTGTGCATCGCAAAAATAAATAATGATTTACACATATAAATAAGAATTTTTAAGAATAATTATTTTCATACTTTTTTCCACACGCTTTGACAATAAATATATTACCTTTATTGAACAAAACCCAAACACATTTGGGAGACCATCGTGCATGTTGGACACATAACGTTTATTGAACACACATCACTCACTTTACTAGTGCCAGCCCGAGAACAGAGGCTGAGACCACCATCCTTAGCATCAAACATGGAGGAGACACCGTTTTAAACTACAGTAACAGCAGCAATAGCACAATAGCAGTGACAACAACAATGAGCAGCAACAGCACAGTAGCGGTAACAACAACAATAATAGCAGCAACAACTTCTAAATCAGCAGCGGTGAAACAGCGACCAGCGGGAAAACCCACGGAATTGGTATACACGCACTCACCCCTTAGATCACCCACAAACAACGTGAGTTTTCCGCATTCACTGCGATACACGGTTTCTTCCCAGCCGTCATTAAGTTGACCGGCGGCTTGGAGGGGGGGTATTTGACACGGCCCGCGTCGCTTCGTTATACACGATGCCCCGTGACTCGTGCCACCTTTATCAGCCGTCGCGCTACTATGAGTATTTGACTGACAAACACCGCGTGTTATACGCTATGGAGATAGAGATGAGAATGCTTAGATGGATGAATGAAGTGACTAGAAAAGATAGAATAAGGAACGAGCATATAAGAGGGAGTATAGCTGTAGCATTTATCGTGGATAAGATGAAAGAAAATAGACTTAGATGGTTTGGTCATATTATGAGGAGAGAAGAATCGGAAGCTGTGAGAACAATTATAGAAATTAATGTTGAAGGAAGAAGAGGTAGAGGAGAACCAAAAAAGAGATCGAGGGATGCTATTGAATGCGATTTGAGGACAGCTGATGTGAGCGTCGATGATGTGGAAGATCGTGTCAAGTGGAAGTTTAGGATAAGGGTGGCCGACCCAAGTAGCTATGATTAAGGCGAGGAAGAAGAAGAAGAAGACGAGTTTCAGTGTGAGACACTATATTTTTTTAAGTATGTGGAATTTTATGTATATTAAAAAGTAAACTTTTTTTATAAATGTGCGCCTAAAGAATCTACTTTATTTTTTAAACAAAATTGGATCGTCGATTTTGCTACATTGTTCAATGAAACTGGTGATATCCCTAAAGTACTGCAGGGTGTATTCACAATATAAAGATAATTTTATAAACTACTATAAAATGGATTACTACCACTACTCGTATTTAAATTAACAGTCGATTTATGAAATATTTTAAAACACGCCTTGCTCTGGAACCATTTTAAAATTTAGTTATTATAAAATAATAATATTCAAAAACCAAAGCCGATCCATAGGAATTTTTATGTCACCCTTCTTTTATAATTATTCTAATAGAAAACTTAATATTTTATATTTAAAGAAATGATTTTGGATGAATAAAAAAATAATTAAATTACACAATTCAACAATTGAAATGCACAACTTATATGAATAAACCACGTTAATAAAAAATCTAACAACTATGACACAAATAAAATTAAAAACAAAATACTTCGATTTAACTGTAATATGGTACAGAAAAACTATAAAATATCAATATAAACAATAATGAATCGCGATACGACAATATAATAAAATTATTGTGCATTATGTGACTTCATCTTAGAATAAGTATTCAATAACGACTACAGTTAAATTTATCTGATTTATATCAATGAATTATTTTAATTGGCATATTGCAGTACTTGAAAAACATTATGATTTTCATCCTTTTAACTATAATCGTAAACTTAGAAGAGAAAAATGTATACTGAATAAAATTCAGTTTACATTATTTCGTGAATATCTATAAAAATACAGTTAATAAAAATGTTTTGAAACAATATAATTCATAAAATTTGATACCCTGTAACTAGAGTAACTAGAGTAACTCTTTATCACCAAATTTTTTTATATTTCAGTCATACTTATAAAAAAGCTCCAGTAAAAGTTAAAAAAAAATTTTATTTAAGGACATCGAAGTTATACGGGTATAATATTCATAGTTTTTAGCCGTTTTATCTATACAAAGAGTATTTTGTTTTTTTCAAATATTTTATCAATATAAAATATATAACTTAAATAACTAAAAAAAAGAAAAATTTACAAAATTTAAATATAATTTTTTTTTATTGGTTATTAATAAAAAAAAAGTTTTATTTGGAATAAATACTCTTAAAATCCTACTAAATTATGGTTCTGTTCAATGGCAAGGAATTACCTCACAATATTGTAATTATCTAGAAGTGATTATGCCTTTTGTAAAATGTTAGCCCAAATTTTTGTATGAGGTATCTAATTAAAGAGGTCCACCGTGATTTTCTCGGTAACTCACTTAGCCTATCTGGGCTTAATACTTAGTATCATTGCTCATAACTTAGGGTGGCTCCTTTATTTGTTTAAGTGGTAATATACATACATAATTAGCTAATAAAATAGATAATGATTTAATTAAAAAAATTAGTGGTCGATAATAATAATTGAACCAGTGTTTTGGAAGTTATGAACATGTTATAGAGTTGACTGGTGGTGTTATTTTTATTACTAGTCAGTTATAATATGCACTCTTCCTCTCACCATAATAAAAATTGTTCATAACTTATGAAATACTAATTCAAAATTTGTTATTGTTTGTCATTTTTTAAATTTTATGATTAATATATTGAAAAACCTGTACCTAAAAGGAGAAACAAATAATATTACTTTTTATATTTCATTTTATTAAATGGATTATAATAAATTCATCACTTTTTATCAATAAACAAAATAACAAAATTTTCTATTAAACAATTTTAACAAAATTTTGGAACAAATTACTATTACAGTGGTAACATTGTTGTTTTTATATTGTTCTAGGATTTGTGTTGTATTTTATTTTTGTTATTATTAATGTAAAAGTATAAGTAACGCACATTTTTTTAATATACTTATAATAATATTGCTAATAATAATGAATTCTGTTTTTTTATTAAATATTTAAAACATGCATTTAAATTAAATTAACACAATTATTGTATATGTTAATGGAACTATGAGAAAAATTTAGCACAAGAAAATTAATTTAAAGATACTTATTAAATGGTTCCATACCCTTAGGATATTCAATTAGTACGGCTGAATCATCTTTCAATTCACAATTGACATCTAATTTTAAAATAAAAATTAATTATTAAAAAAAGAGCTGTGATATCATGTTCTGTATTGAATGAATAAAACAATAGCACATTATTTTGTAACTGTAGTGACATAGTTCAAAAAAAAATGTCGATTTTTTACGGATAATGCGAAGTTTAAACTTTTAAACATTTTGATATCGCGAGGGGTGTACACGATAACTTTATTTATAACTAATAAAAAAAATGATCTACAGAACTAATTATTTTTCTATGAAAAATTGAACTTAATGATCAATTATAGACATATTATAAAATATCATTGTAAATATTCTTTATTTTATGTTTTGTGTACTGCCCAGCTAATAGACTACGATAAAAAATAAAACAAAACATTTAACCGTGCTATTTTGTATTTTATAAGAGTAAAGAATATAATATGTTATATATTATATAATGATTAAAAAGTAAGGAAAAGTGTATTTATTCTATTTTTTTATAACAAATCTCCTGCCTTTTTAAATATTATAGATTATTTTTTTACTTATTTTATTTTCTACAACCAGTTCATATAATTAAAGCGTTTTATAACTATAATGTATTGAATATAAATTTAAATTATTTTGACTTTCGTATATATCGCTGAAAAAATATTGTAGTTTTCCATATATTATGACACAAAGTATTATGGATGATTGTATTGTTTCCTAATTCTAATAACATATTATAAAAGAATAAAAGTATTTTAATAGATCATAAAATCATTACTTTCTTGTCTAATGTCTTCTTGTTTCTCTACATTATTGGTATATGGTATCGAAGGATATTTTGTAATATCTAAACATATTAAAATGGTTTTTAGGTCAATTTAAAAATTATTTAGATTAAAATGTAATGGTACTGTAAAGTTTTGGGGAAACTTTAAAATTTTGCTGAGTTGCGGGGTCACAGAACAGTATGAACTTGGGATAGTTAAGTCAAGTGTAGATGATATCTGGCAGTAACGCTCATTTTTTGAATATACTAATAATAATTAATTGTGTTTTTTTATTAAATATTGAAAACTTGCATTTAAATTAAATTTACACAATTATTGTATATGGTAATGGTAATAAGAAAATTAATTTAAATGTATTTATTAAATGGTTCCATACCCTCAGGATATTCAATTAGTAAGACTGAATCATCTCTAAAGTCACAATTGACATCTAATTTTAAACAAAAATAAATTATTAAAAAAAAGAGTGGTGATATCATGTTTCGTATTCATTGAATAAAACAATAGTACATAATTTTATAACCTTATGACAATGTTAAAAAAAAATTTCTATTTTGTACGGATAATGCGAAGTTTTCGCGAGGGTGGTAAACGATGACAATAACTATCAGAAAAAAATGAATAAAAAAACCTTTTTCCTTATTATATTTCTAATTTATACTTACTTTATTGTCTACAACCAGTTCATAGAATTAAAGCATTTATAATAATAATGTATAGAATAATAATTATTCTATTATTTTAAAACTATTTTAGCTTTCGTACAAATCGCTGAGTACATTTTGTGGTTTTCCATAAAATATGAACAACGTATTATGAATGAGTATATTGATTCCTAATTCTAATAGCTCAAAAAAATAAATGTATTATAGTGTATTATAAAATTATTACTTTCTTGTTGAATGCCTTCTTTTTTCTCTACAACATTCGTATGTAGTAATGAAGGATATTTTGTAAGATCTAGACATATTAAAATGGTTATTAGATCAATTTAAATTTATTTGAATTAAAAAATAGTATAGTATCAAGTATTAGGGGAACTTTACCATAATGCTGAATTTCTTCTTGCGCATTTACTTCATTGGGGTTTTGTATAAAATTTATTGTAAAATTTTGATCGATACCTAAATATGTTAAAAACAATATAATTTCAAATAAATGTAATATTGCATAAATAGTTATACCTTGCTTGAAATCGGTAGGACGTAGACCAGGTAAAATAGTCTGACTTGTGTAATAATCAAATTTAAATCCAAGTTCAATATACTTTTTTCTGATTGTCGTTAGGATTAAATTTCTAATTTTATCACTAAGAAAAATGAAAAGTTTTTGATATTTTCCTTCATATATTAATGTGTTCAATTCTATATTCCATAAATTCCATAATGAATTAAAATCTATTTGTTTTAGTAGACAAAATGAGTTATTTTCATCAAGTTCAAGACTCCTTGCAGATAATATTTTCGCAATAGTTACTAATACATCTCTAATTGAATCCGAACTTATTTTCAACGTAGTCAATAAAGTTTCATCTTTCTGTATTTTTGTTAGTATACTACTTAAAATAAAACGGATTTTTTTTTGTAAGTTTAAGGGATTAATATGATATTTTTCTATTGCATATAACGCTCCTTTCATATATTTTGCCATCGGAACAATTTCAACCATTTTTATTAAAAGTGTAACTGTACAATTATACGTACTATCATTGCCAGAATTTAATAGATCAGAACAATGTTCTTGTAATTTAATTAATGATAAAAATATTAATTTTAAATCATGATAGTAAGAACATCCAAGGAATATTGTTGCTTGCCGTATGAAATTATCACAATTATGTATTGTTACAGGTTCAATAAATAAATTTTTCAGTTCATAGTTTTTGCCACAATACTTAATTAATTCGACATCATTTATATTACTCCATCCTGGTTGACGTAGAAAATTATTAATGATAGTCGCGTTTTCTTTTTTACTATGTTTTCCTTCAGTATGTAAAAAAGCGAAAAAAATACATAAATACACTTGAATATTTAGTATTATTTCCATTTTCTTTTTCGTAATTTATGTATCTATTTTTTTATATCAATCTTTTTATTAAAAAAACGAATAGTTATATAAAATATATTTCATATATAATATTAAGTATTATTACCATTTTGATTTTCGAAAAGTTTCCAATATTATAGTTTCTATGCGAATCTGAGAATTTATTAATTTTACTATAATATGTTTATTTATTATTTTTTATATTTTTGTCTGCCTCACTGGACCGATTATTTTAATTGATACGTCAAAAGATCACAAATTGTATATAGTTGAAGACATTACCCTTAATAATTAAAATTTCTCTTTCGTTCTTCGTAAATGATGAAAATCCCCCGAAAATTACGATTTTTAAAATCATTAAATTTCAACATTTTTTTTTCTAAAAATTGCCTTAACTTATTGAAAAATTAATAAATCTTAAGAATTCTGTTTTATAATGACACCTTAAATCTTCCCTTTTTATTTGATATAAATTTTTTGAAAATCTGACCCTTTAATTAGCACAGGTGGAATTCTAATTAATGACTTTTGCACATTAAACTTTTTTAACTTATGTTTTGAAAATGTTCGGAAAATACTCCGAGCTTCAGACATATGTTAAAATATAACTTATGATATGCACTATGAGAAAAAAAAAATTTCCCGTACACTTATCTTCTATGTGCAAATGGTTGCCGAAATTAAAAATATGCAATTTTGGTTTTAACATTTTTTAACTTTAAATTACGATAACTTTTCGAAAAATGTATGGATTAATACAAATTGTTGTTTCTAAATAAATTATACATAAACCTTTCATATGACATACTTTTTTTTTTAAAATCAAACCATTTTCCTTTATACAGGGGAGGTTTTAATTTTTAAAATTACGAGTAAAGAGTAGAATTTTTCAACTTAATTTTTGTAAATGTTCTGGAAATACTCCGACTTTTAAATATACCAAGTTACGATTATGATAAATTCTACAAGTTCAAAAAAAAACATTTTTCTCGACACCTTTTCTTCTAATGGGAATTGGCTGCCGAATTAAACGAAAAATATTATTTTTATGTAAAAATCACTGTTTAATGTGTTAATATATTTATTCTTAACCATTCTATAACTAAATTAAAAATTAACAAAGCAAAATAATTTTTTTTTATTGAAATCTTATGTATTGTCCTTTTATTTGATATACATTTTTAAAAAATCTGACCATTTATCTTCACACAGGGGGAGATTCTAAATTACAATTTTTACACACAAGTTAAACTTATTGAGATTAAAAAATAATGTAGTGTCAAGTATTAGAGAAACTTTACCATGTTGCTGAATTTCTAGTTCTAATTTATACTTATTTTATTGTCTACAACCAGTTCATAGAATAAAAGCATTTATAATAATAATGTATAGAATAATAATTATTCTATTATTTTAAAACTATTTTAGCTTTCGTACAAATCGCTGAGTACATTTTGTGGTTTTCCATAAAATATGAACAACGTATTATGAATGAGTATATTGATTCCTAATTCTAATAGCTCAAAAAAATAAATGTATTATAGTGTATTATAAAATTATTACTTTCTTGTTGAATGCCTTCTTTTTTCTCTACAACATTCGTATGTAGTAATGAAGGATATTTTGTAAGATCTAGACATATTAAAATGGTTGTTAGATCAATTAAAACTATTTAAATTAAAAAATAGTGTAGTGTCAAGTATTAGAGAAACATTACCATGTAGCTGATTTTCTTCTTGTGCATTTAATTCATTGGTATTTTGTACATAACTTATTGTAAACTTTTGTGCAATATCTAAGTATGTTTACAACAAATTATTTTAAATAAATATAACATTTCATAAATAGTTATACCTTCTTTGACATTAAAAGGTGGTAAAACAAGTAAAAATGTCTGACTTGTGTACGAATCATATTTAAATCCAAGTTCAATATACTTTTTTCTAATTGTCGTTAGGATTAAATTTTTTATTTTATCACTAAGAAAAATGAAAAATTCTTGGTATTTTCTTTCATATATTAATATATTAAATTCCTTATTCCATAAATTCCACAATGAAATAAAATCTAAATATTTTAGTTGACAAAATAACTTTTCTTCATCAAGTTCAAGACGTCTTGCAGATATTATTTTCGCGATTGTTTCTAATACATCTCTAATTGAATTCGAACTGAATCTCAACGTAGTCAATAAAGTTTCATCTTCCTGTATATTTGTTAGTATACCACTTAATATAAAACGGGTTCTTTTGAGAGTGTTTAAGGGTTTATTATGATATTTTTCTATTGCATATAAAGCTCCTTTCATATATTTTGCCATTGGAACCATTTCAATAATTTTTGTTAAAAGTGTTACTGTACAATTATACGCACTATCATTGCCAGAATTTAATAGATCAGAACAATGTTCTTGTAATTTAATTAATGATAAAAATATTAATTTTAAATCATGATAGTAAGAACATCCAAGGAATATCGTTGCTTGCCGTATGAAATTATCACAATTATGTATTGTTACAGGTTCAATAAATAAATTTTTCAGTTCATAGTTTTTTTTCCTATAATTAATAAATTCGACATCATTTACATTTTTCCATCCTGGTTGACGTAGAAAATTATTAATGTAAACCGCGATTTCTTTTATATTAATTAATCCTTCAATATGTATAAATGCGAAAAACATACATAAGTACACTTGAATATTTAGTATTATTGCCATTTTCATTTTCGTAAGTTATCTATCTATTTTTTTATATCTATCTTCTTTTTAAAAACCGAATAGTTGTACAAAATAGATTTCAAACTAATTATGATATTAATAAAGTTTTTTATTTCCATACTAAAATTAAAAATTAGCAAATAAGCCGAGTATACAGGTGCAAATTATATTTGTATGTGACATTGAGAGGAGGTGTAGGATTGTTACGTTTTTAACATTGCGTGATTAAAACACCAAAAATTTGAAAATTGAAATTGTTTCTTTTGGAAATTTTAGATGGTTTACTTAGTTTCTTTTTAAATATGTTTTTTTAACACTGAAAAGGGGTATTTTTTTGTTAACTTTATGTGAGAGATAGTAAATTTGAATAATTTGTATTAACTATTTGGATTTTCTTGGAGTAAATAGTGTTTTAAACCTAGGAGTGCTCCATTTCCAATAACAAAAAAGGAATTTTTCCCGCCAAGCTCGAAATAATATGCTCAATCTTATTTTTATCTATTAATTGATGATCCCAACCTATGTGAAATTGGAAATAATTAATTTTATTAATACTCATAATATGACTAGTAATACAATATATTAAATATAATAGAATTAGAAAAAAATACTTTTTATCAAAAAACAATAATTGTCTTAATAACAAGTTTGAATTATTTAAACTTGAATCAGTATTTTATTTAAATTATTTATTACCTAATGATGAACAAATAGCATAAAAATAAATTGTACCTAAATTAAACAAAAATTTTTAATACTATTTTATTTAAAAAAATAATCAGTTATGTCTCCATCTGTTTTTATTTGCATGTGAATGAATGTAACAAAAATATATACATATATTATAATGCCAGAAATTTGACAATTTTTCTACGCCCAGTTATTTTATTTTAATCAGTAAAAATTATTTCTGTAAAATTTAAGACAAATTCAATAACGTTAAAATATTACGGTCAACGTTTGACTGAGGCAGTTTTTTTTTAGAAAATTACCTACTATATTTAATAATTTATAATATATGATTGTGTTGAAGCTTTCGTGGATTGTCATATTGCTCGAAATGTTTATGTAACTACACTATATAGTGTGATGGTGTCACGTTTTCATAATCGTGAGAATTATTTTAATAAAATACAGACAGCACATCCGCTGCCTGAGACTGGTGAATTAACAAATAATATTTATTGCCAAATCGGCAATAGGTGTAATTATTATAAAAACCCAATAGACCTGACCATCGTGGTCAGTCGACTCCAGTGCCTTGTGTCATTCATCAGTCTCAGTACTCGGTTGTCGCTGTCCGGCTTACTGTTTAAAGTAAAGTCTTTGTTTATTCCTTTTCTAACCTATATACTCTTTTCCTCGACATTTCAGAGTACTTGTGTCTTGCACTTCGTCTGCACCTCATACCTAGGTGTTACTCTTATTCTCCCTTCCTATAACAACAGCCTTTCGACACCCACAGCTAACCCGGAGTGTCAGCCGAGCACGGTGACTGCTGTACGACAACACGCACGTGAATACATAGACAGCAGGCACCACCTCCTCATATTCATCTTCGTACACATAGTTTCACATTTACCTTTTATCATTTTCTTTACTGTGTTACGACAATAGATACAACCACGATCCTGTAACTATCGCTCTGAAGGAAATACATGCCCTCCAGAATATACGTAATCCTACAAATTTGTTTCTTTAAAAAAAATGTATGGGTATATTAGATACCTAAATTAAAACAATATTATTATACGTTATATTCATAAAAAAATTCAGTTGTTATCATTATTTAACAGGTAATTTTTATGTTAGTACATTCTGTCCTGTAGTATAAAATGTGTTCAGTAAGTAATGAAACGGGTTTTATTGTTCTTATGGTATGTAACAATTGACTTGTTTCCTTACTTACTGAACACTCCGTATATTTTAAAAATGTTTTTTTAAAATAACAGGTTTAATCCTTTCATTGTTTCAATGTCATCAATTTAAATCATTGAAAAATACATTAGATCAATAGATATGAAGCATAAGCAAGTCATACTAGTAATAGGCATTAAATAATTAATTAAACAATCGGCAATTGAAGACTTCAAAATTCAGATAATTAGTAAGAATTTGACACGGCACCCCCCGTCGCTCTAGGCTGGCGCTCACCCGTGTCTCTCGCGATATCAGCCGTCCAGCTATTAATATGACAATCGGTTGTCTTCCCGCCCT